AAATATGTATATACAGTGAATGTAAAATACTCTACAATAAATCTTCTTTTATAAAAATACAAAAATTTATAATAAAATTGGATAATCGCGTTGTTATCAGCTACATAAGTTGATTAAAAATTAATATCAGATGTACTTGATTTTTTAAACGCTAACATCCATAAAACAAGATGTGGGTTATTATATTTTTGTCTATATTACTCATTTCTCATATATTTTATATTATTGTTACTAAATATTGCCTATTAACTAATAATATAAAATATTGATGAGGTACGATTTAGGCGACCAGTACGCATTCGGCAACTCTCCCCTATGTATTAAAATTCAGAAAGGAGCATAAAGATATTAAAGACTTTTAATATGCTCCTTCCCTCCTTTTTTAAATTAATATTGTAATCAGCTGTTGCAGTAACTTTGTAGGAAATTCACACTTGTACGTGAGTCGTACTACTCGTTCTCTGTTTTCATATCAGTTGATGCATGATTAAAAATGAGGTTTGAATAAAAATATCAACTACACATGCAAAAAGCACGTATAGTTGGCGTGTACAAATGCATACGCGCGTATTCAGATTCACCAAACTGGTTTTCCTCTTATTACTAGAACTTCGGCATGTTTATCCGTCTCAATCCGATATTTATCTTCGAAACGTCATACGCGAGAAAAATTTCCACAATGTGGTTGATGTAAAAACAAAATTTTTACTATCTTATATATATATTATTGGAAAAATATTTATATCAAAATTCGTAACATATTTATCAACCCTAACGAGCAATTTTATTATTAGGTAACATAAAATCGAAGACAATTTCACAATCGTAAATAATCACTTTTTAACTTCGTCTTAATTTTGTATTAAGACACACCTATTCTAAAATGGTATTCTAAGCGATGTGAAACCATCGCGTGACTGTCCATGGAGAATTTATATGCACCCATATCGATGAAGTGTCTACTTGTCAGCGCATGTAATTTCTGAGACTGATGCACACGCGGATACAGGAGTTATCTTACAGTTGCACTTTTAATTAGCTACGCTTGAATGCATTTAAAACGTTTTAAGCCCGGAGTTCATGTAAAATATCAATACTACGGAACCAAGCGTGAAGGCTTTAAATATAATCGAGATTACATCCGAGATGATAAGTGACCCATATACATACATTATATATAGATATATCTTAAACCGTGTCTACTTTCACATAAACTTATTAATTTCACGTGACTTAACATTACTAATGTTTCCACATCGATGTGCGCAAATATACGACCAATTGAGCACTGATTGACAGCTATACGAATCCTTTTATATAGATGTTGAAATAAATACATGAGAAATGTGCATATATGGCACACAAATAATCATTTTATAGTTAATGGCATTTGAAATAATTAAACAGTTAGATCAAATAGCGACAACTATTTTATTATTACAAAATGCCATCGACTAATCGCGATTGTAAATTCGCTCGCGTGCGTTAAAAAGTTTATCATTTACATATTTTCTCATGTCGACTAAATTTCATTACCTTGAAAAGCTGGTCGGTACCAATGATTTCTTCCGCGCTTTTCGTTTGCAGGCATTCAATGAGATCCTTGGAATTCTCGGTGTTGCATCCTAAATGCTTACCTAAAGTCATAGCTCTCATTCTGGCAATTCTTGGTGACGTTAAAGTCCATGGATTGTAGAAGTTGCCACTCTGAGAAATACCGCGGTGAAAAAGTCCTGCGTGATTGAGAAAAACGTAAACATTTCCCGGTTGTAAAAACGAGTTATGCTAATTAAGGCATCATGCTGGAAAAAAGATCATTATTAATGATTTCCCGATTGCACCATTAATAATGCAGATAGTACACGCTGAATATATTGTCTATATAAATATATGAAAATATGTAACATTTTCTTATGATTTTAATTATAATTTTTAGGAATTTTCTTAAAATTTGATACTTCTCCAATTTGACATTTTGTCGTTTATTTTAAGAAAATTTATGAATAAATAGCAGTTTGCTAATAATTCAATAATCAACGTAATATATAGATATAAAATGTTATATTTTTACTGAAATAATGCTTTTTATTAATTGATCAACTTTGAATTTATTTAATACAATTATGAAAGATTTTATTGGCGCACGCGCTGAAACGCCAATAAATACATCGATAAATTCGTTGAAATAAAGTTTGTTAGAGTACATCTAAATATTTCTGTTTGATAATAAGAAATGAAGATATGTTAATTAATCTTGAAATCGACTTGAGTTTTTAATTTGCAATTCACTTTATATCATTAACAACTACTTCCAGAAAGAAGATCGCAATAATGTGAAACACGTTTCTTTGTACATTAAAAATTCGTAATTACAAATGATGATGTAAATTGAAATATTATGCGTGTACGTATAATATATGAAGTAATATTATGTATGCAATCCATTACGTGTCACTTAATGACGTCGGAATACCCAATGAATCGTGAAACTAAGAATCATTTTTACGGTAAAACGTGTATTAATGTGTCAGCATTTGTTACACACCTCATGTATTATAAAATAATTTCGTAATAATTATTATGTCTTCCGAATTAAATACAAGTAACACAAATGAGTGAAGACCACCATATCACTCACTTTGTTTAACATTTCTCGGTTTATTTTTACTAAATATAGCAACACAAATCAGATTAATTGACAAATTTCCGATGCAATAATAAAAATATATAGAACTACATTTTATTGCCTTATAAATATATTGTTTACGCATCAATAACAGCGAAGGCTCATATAAAAATTTTACTTATATTTTTACTTATATTTGTAAAGGCCTTTACCTACTGAAAGGGGGCTGACCATATGGTAGTGAACACTTGCACCGCCGGCACTTTCACCGAAAAGAGTCACTCTATTTGGATCACCACCAAAGTAAGCAATATTTTCGTGTACCCATTTCATAGCTTGCTGCTGATCCTTTAATCCTACATTTCCTGGACATTCCAGGTCCTCCGTACTCATAAAACCCAAAGGTCCAAGTCTAATGTGAGAAATATATTTATCGCGCGTTATGCAACTGTAACATTTTCTCCTCTTTTGTCATTGACACCGATTTCTTGTAAAATTGTAACTCTTTTATTTTTAAAAAATTACATAAAAACAAAAATGTGTTATTTATTATATTACATTTTCATATATAAAAAAATAATAATAAAAAATAAAGTTGTACATATGAAAAATAAGATTGCAGTGAAGAGTCTAAAAATCTAGCGTCTAGCGTCAGCCTTAAATTGTCAAGCTTACCGGAAGTTGACGGTGACGAGGACGAGATCAAAGTCCAGCAGAAATTTGGGCCCATAATATTCAGAGTGGCCAGCACCAGCAAGCCATCCACCACCGTGGAACCAAATCATGACTGGGAATCGGGCGAAGACCTTCTGCCGCTGTCGTTCCGGATCATGATCAAAATTCGAGTGTTCCTCGGTGCATTGTATGCATGGCGTGTAAACGTTCAGGTAAAGACAATCCTCGCTGCCGACAATTTCCTTCTGATCGACGTAGATATTCCGTTGCATGCATATCTCGGCGTTAGTCGTAGCATGTAGAGTGCCATTCCAAGCGATCGGGGGTTGCGGTGGCTTTGGGAAAAATATCGTGCAATTAATTTTTACGTATATTATTTGTAAGTCTGAACAATTTAGACGTTTGTGTTAAAACTGGTCGTGCAACTTCGACTAAGCGGAGACTTGTTAATAATGACGTATCAATGATGAATGACAAAGCGATATGTACATATAAATTATTCTTCGAAATTGTAGATGCAATAAAACAAATTTCCGGAAGTGTTTTATTACTAGCTATAATAATATTGTTTGCTTTATTTATAAGGCAGAAGCAGTAATTGATTATATAGGGTAAACCCGATATATACGCCACACCTAAGGGAGATTTAATTTATCAAGTACTATTTACCATGTTTAAGGCAAATAAACTATACCAGTAAAAACTTCATACTTTCTACTACTATGAAAAAAATATTAGGAATCCGAAATATTAATTTATCATAGGTATTAAAAAATAAATTTTTTGAAACCCTTGCATTTTTGCCATATATCCCATAAGGATAGGATATATGGTTACTCATAGGGGGAGGGGGGGGTACGGCTCATGAAAAATTTACAAATAATGCATATAAATAAGACGTAAAATGACACAATAACTTATAAAATACGTTTATAAAGTTTTATTAAGGAATAAAAATGATAAATATGTATATGAAGTAATAAATAATAATTACAATCTTCCTACATATATTAGAAATGTTATGACAAGAGGTACATATTTCATGTAATGCATTTATTGCATTTAGTGCACTGATTTCAATCTGCGCACTTTGTATGCTTTGGGCATAAATCCCGTCCGCTAAAAATGCCGTATATCCCAAGCAAGTGGGATATACAACACAACAAACTAAACAAAGAATACTAAAGCAAAGCACTTGTATTTTGCTATACAACATGCTTTACTATTCCTTTACATATGTATCACAAAATAACCACTAGGTCTTTTACGCGCCCTACAGTAATCATTTTATGTAGATTATAATTTATGATGGCGCTACTTGTTACAATAACAAATCGATTCAACTCACAATAATTTCATTAATATTAACTGTAAGAAGCTGAAATTATAACCCAATACTAATATAACATAAAGAATGTAACAATAAATGTAACAGAGTAGTTGCGAGAAAATTACTCCCACTCCTTCTATTTTTTCTGACTTCTGCGGCGTAAATCCCAGTGTGGCGTATTTACCGGGTTTACCTTATATAAAATTGTATATAAAAAATTAAGGAACGTTTCTAATTATGTGACAAATACAATTTAATTATTAATAATTTATGTATGAATAATATAAAATATACAGAAAACATTATAGAATTATTAAATCTAAAATTTTTATAATATTATAATATTTATACTCAATAAATAAAAGAAGGACAACGAGCCAATTATAATATAAGATCTTTAATAAACGTATATATACAAACGTTTCGACACCGATCGGGTCATTTTCAATGTAAAATAACAAACACTCTTACA